TCAGCAGGAGACGTACACAATCTAAAAGGTTATGTGTATGTATGTATTAATTTCAGGAAGAAATTCATTCAACAAAGGAAGAAAAATTCTCCTCTATCCATAAACCAGTCACTGTTGGAACCCATCAGTTGTTAACTGTTGGAACAACCCACATCTCCAAATTAACTGATGACCAGCTCATAAAGGAATTTCTTAGTGGTTCATACTGCTTCCATGGGGTGAGAAGAATAGACTGGCTAAATGTGCATGTTTGTTTTGCATTAATCAGTTCCTAAGAGAGTCTGAAGTTCTTCATTTAACTATGATATGTTGTATTTCTCATAGCAACGGAGGTATCTTTCCTTTCTGTAATTTGCCAATCACCAGAAAGTGACCTTGATGTTTCTCTTTAGCCAAGTTCAAGAGCTTATTTGATGTTTTTGCTGTCTCCCCTCTGGAACTCTACTCTGTCAAGCATATGATATTTGTATCCTTCTAAGTAAAGGATTATCGTCTTTGAAAGATGAGCCTATTTTTTTGGCACAAGAAATTACATGAAAGAGGAAGAGAGCCAGTATTTAGTCATTATAATTGACCCCTTCTCTCTCTCAGCCTCAAATATTTCTGAACTGATTTTAGCTTTGTCTTGCATATCAATTCTGGTCAAAATGCAAAGCTAAAAGCTGAATTTGAAGTGTTCCATATCCTTAAATACTGCAAGAAAGCATATGTAACACTAGCTACATATTGGCCACAGCACCCTTGGTATCATGTGAACCTTTTAAGGATATCACAGGGTTATCAGGCAATATTTACACTGTTACGTATGTAAAAACCTATACACGATTCACATGATATAAACCCAGAGATTTCAGATAGAAAAATTGTAGCAAGTCAGGATGGTTTTGACACTTTGGATCCCTGAGTTCTCTGCAACAGAAAAATTGCTCTATTATTTCTCCATAGTCAAAAAATGAGTGAAAGCTAAGAGCTGACATTTTCCATGGGGTGCCTTGTTCTAACACAGTTGGGAACCACTGTTGTAGACTGAAACATGTTGGGTTTTGGAAGGGAAGACAGAATTTATAAGAAAAATTACTTTCTCTTTCCTGCCTTAGTAACAGGAAATACTGTAATGGGAACAGGGATTGGAAAAGAGGGTAAAATGACTTATTAGAAAAATTAGGATGGTTGAAAGGAATGTGGATTATGTGGCTGCTGCTGCCTCTAAAATGGGGGGAGAGGGGAATGGTTTTAAATAGATGGATTTGTGACAAAGAAACACACTGCCTTATTCAGCTATAAATAGATGAATTGTAACTTGTGCTCAGGAGCAGTTAGCCAATAAAATGGGGTAAGGCACAAAATACTTCTAAATGTTCTCAGCATTATAACCATGCTGTTCTGAATCAACAGTAGTGCTAAATGAGCATCAGGAAAAAATGTATTTCTTTTTCTAGGGTGTTGGTTGGTGGAAGTATGAATTCTGCTATGGCAAATATGTGCATCAGTATCATGAGGTATGTTTAAAGTATTTTCAGTGTTCTACCACTAGGTGGCTACCAGGTGCTTTTAATGTATGACAGGCTACTACAATTGATCCTGTAACTCAGGGCAGTAAGAAGGGCTGGTTGTATTTTATCCAGTTAGAACCCCTGACTTATGGGAGAAATTAACATAATTTCAATCTATGCAGTGAAATGCAGACACTAGTGTTATATCAGAGTTGGTAAAAATTTTAATATAGTTTTCAGGCATGCTCTTCGGGTTATCAAGACATATAATCTATTGAAAGTAAGTTTGCTATCCAGAAAAAGCTTTCCATTAGCATATGAATGCCCTCAGTTATTTTCCTGAATGCAGTAAAAATGTATTGTAATTAACAGCTAAGATAGAAAATCTAATTTTTTTTTATTTTTTTTTTAAAGAATGTGACCTAATCCTTATCATGTTTGTGATATGGTCACCCTTATGTTCTAGCGTCTCAAACCAATCTTCTGGAACAAGTCATGGCCCTTTGAAGGTTAAGGTGACTACCCTGAACCTTCTCTAACATCTCTAAATTAAAATGTTGAGCACTCTGAAAACCTACTTCCCCTTGTTATTGGGGAAGGATGAAGAAAGACCTGGAATGTAAGCCCTTTTCTCTGCTTTGGAAAAAAACTTCTTTACCACCAAGAAATAACAGAGAAGTCACTGTGTCTCATGCCCTCAACAGCAAAATCATTTCAACTTCATGATGCAAGATAATAAATATGGGTTGTCCTTATTGTAGGATAAAGAAAGTGGCAAAACATCTGTGGTTGTTGGCACCTGGAATAAGGAAGAACATATTGAATGGTCCAGGAAGAATCCAGCTAGAACCCATCATATCAAAGAAGATGGTAGTCAGACAGTTAGGTAAGGTTAATAGTTATTTTTGTTCCTTTTGGTTGAATATTAGATAACATGTTGAGAACATGAGTTTATTTCCCTGCAGCACTTCTAAATTGCTCTTTAAAGTAACCATTTGACTCAGAAACTATTCTAAGTCTACCAGCATAACATTTTACTTTCCATTCTAAAATTCAGAATGTTGCATTTAAAAATCAAAAACTAGAATCCTTCTCCATGCCATTTGAAATACTTGATTAAAAATGAAGCATATGAACTTTTAACTACTTGTCTGAAATTAGTTTTCTTCAGTATTACATTTATCTTGAATACCATTTTCAAAAGTGTGTGCGCACCTTAGGTGCTCAAGTCTCACTGAAAATAAGTGGGGCCTAGTCGGAACGAACAAAGAAAATATTTCATTTATTTTCAGTGAGATTTAAGTACCCAAGGAAAATAGATGCTTATTGGAAATTTTACAACTCTGACTAATGTTCATGCCTGAAAGTTTTACATTGAGGTTGTTTTCTTTGATGCATAGTGTCTTGGTTTCTTGAAAAAACTTCCTTGGAATGAACTGCCTGGTTTTTATTTATGTAACAGTTAAATTCACTGCATCTGGTTACATTATTTGAGTGCTGAAATTGGCCTCATACTTACTACTGCAGAGGAAGGGACATAGAGGGAAATTATCTAACAGGGGTGATCTAGTAGTAGAAATAACAAGCCTTCAAAATATTTTGTAGAGGATTTTTCAAGTCACAAAAGCAGCTGTAATTGAATATTTGTTATCCCTCGGGCCTTAGAGAAAATGAAATATCCTTAAGCATTGGCGCAGGTGGTAGGCAACTGAAATATAGCTTGTCAGATTTTTTTTCTCTTCCTTTTTTCCTTTTTAGTGCATGTTATGTTTATGTTTTGGAGTTGAAAAATGCTGTCTTACACGTACTGAAAGCAAGCTGTGAATTTTAAATTGTTAATATCTGATTTTTCAAATTCATGTCTAATTCCAAATTTTCTGGCAGAATGGTCTCTCATTTCTATGGAAATGGAGATGTTTGTGACTTAACTGACAAGCCAAGGCAGGTGACTGTGAAATTGAAGTAAGTTATGTACTTAAATAATTTTGTCTATATTCTGTCTTTTCATTAATAGGGAATACTATAAAATTTAGAAGCTAATAACTGAATTCTGTCAAACACAGTAAAAGCTGTGCTATCTGGCACTTTACTAACTGGCATGCTCTGTTAACTTGCTGATCGACACAGCAAAAGCGAAACTGCAAGTCCCACCATGGCACTTCCGGTTTCTCCAAGTTCCACAGCAAAGCAGCCTGCACGGGGCGCCCCTCTTTGTCCCCTGGCACTGACACACTGGACGTGGCAGGAGGGGTGGCAGCCCAAACAGGTGGCAGCCCAAACAGACGCCTCTCAGATAATCAGCAATTTTGATTAACTGGCACTCCCCATTCCCCCTGGATGCTGGATAACACAGCTTTTGCTGTATATAAAAAAAACTGTAAACATCAAGGAAGTTTATCCTTTGCTTTTGCGCTTCTTTACTTTATAATGAAATATGTAGTTTTATAGTTCTTACAGCATGTACTAAAAGCCTTTCTTTCTTTAGGTGTAAAGAATCAGATTCCCCCCATGCTGTAACTGTGTATATGCTGGAACCTCAATCCTGTCAGTATATCCTTGGGGTATGTAAACTTGAATTTACTCAGATCAGAATGGAAATAAAGCACATCCAACTGTTTGTCTTGGGCTCTAATCTGTAGTGGCCAGAGATATAAAACTGAACTGGAAAGTTTAGTTTGACAAAATGGGGAGGTTTTCATGCACATGCCGATACTGCTATCACTACTGCCTGAAATCTTGCAAAATGTGATCTCTTTATTTTCTATCCTGGTTTTGCAGGATCAATGATGCTGTAAGCTACCAAAGAAAAATGCAAAAACCCAGAATTTAAGATGATAAGCAGTAAACTGGATTTTCAACATTGTTTTCCAAGTGTATTTTAAGGAGATGTGTGTATGCAATGCTTGAACTCTTAAACTGCTCTTATTTGAGCACATTCTAGGTAGCCCTCAAAGGTATTCAGAAGCAATTCTCAAATAGTTCGCTTTCCAAATGATTTAGAACTCTCAGACTTGGAGGCTTTTTCATTTGTGATGTGAAGCTTTCAAGATATTTAAACCTATATAATTTTCCTTCAAGCTTCTGAATAAAATCTGGACCTCTTGGGTCAGGCCTCTGAAGAACAAAATTGAATTTCTTTTTCAAATAGATTCAGAGCTGTTTGATAGATATCTTTGATTCCCCTCTGAGTTGTCTGGCTCAGAACTGTTCTGAAAATGTCAGTTTAGCACCATCACCTCTTCCTATTCTGGTGCACTGAGAGCAATCTTTGGTATAAGGCGAAAGTAACCTAAAATGAAATGTTTCAAAGGTTGTAATGAAAGGTTTTAAATGATAGAATGTTAACAGTATAAAGTACAAGAATTAGTGCTGTATCATAGAAGTTAGTTTTGATTACAGGAGCTTAGTCACCTAGAATTCTTTAAAGTAATCTGGTCCTCTGAGCAATCATAACAAATATCATTGCACAGACTAGTTCTTGATCTTCCTCCATTTTCCATCCTGTGAGCTCTGTCTGCCACCTCTCTGTCCCCCTTTATTTCTGGGACTTCCTGCAACTTCCTCTAGTCTTTGCCCTTCTTGAAGTTCTGCCTCCGATTCTCACCTTCCTCTTATGGTAGTGGCCTCCACTTTCCCCCATATCAGGGGCCTGTGTGGTGCCATACTGGGATTCCATCTATTCTCCTGCCACCATCATTATCTGTCTGAAAGAAAAGTCATTCAGGGTATTAATGTATTCAACTTCTTTGGGAAGGTGGCCAGAGATATGGTGAGTATTAGCTGGAAGGCAATAATTGTTTGACTTGGTTGCATGAGGGCTTGAATATGAAGCCATGAACAACGCATGCCCCTGGAGGCTGGGGGGGCAGGCATGGTGACCACCTGCAGGCAGTAGTGGCAGTGAGCAGGGAGCTCCCGCATGCGGGAGGAGGGATGGGGCATGAATACCAGCCAGCAGTCGGCGATGGCCCACAGATGCTGCCGGAAGAGGGCAAGCAGCAACCTCCTGCAGGCACCACCGGCAGTGTCAGCAGCACTTCTTTCAGGGGGTGCACCACCAATCTCGTGCACCCGCATGCACTCCCTACATGTCACCAACGTATGTAGCTGTGCTAAAGCAATGGCAGAGGTGCCAGTGATACTAGAACTAGGGGACAGGCAAGGAAATTTTCAGAAGGCAGGTTTAAAACTAACAAAAATGGGTTTTTTTCACATGGCGTGCAGCTGAATTGTAGAACTCATTGCTACAAGTAGAGACCAGCAACTTAACCGGGTTCAAAAGGGAACTGGACAAATTCAAGCCTCATAGGCCACTCTATCGTTAGGTATTAAACATGATAGTTATGGGAGCAAGTTCCAAATTAGGACTTCCTAGGCCTCTAAAAGCTGGGAGCTATAAGGTGTTATCTTTTATTGAGCCAGTTGTATAGTTAGGATAAAATTAGACAAACTTTTGAATGAAATACATTCAAAAGCTGATGATGAATGCCCTGCATTCAAAAGTTTGTCTAACTATTCCAGCTACATAGTTGATCCTATAAATGAGATCGCCCTAAGAAGTCCTTGCTTCTCACGTAATTTCTGGACCATCACAGCTACAGCATCACTCTTATGCTATTGGCAGCTATAAGGAAAGAGGAGCAGGGGATGTATCAGCCTGGATAGGCCCTGCATAAATACTTTTTTCCTTATCATCCACATTTTGCCAGCATGACCCAGGGAATACTGGGACAGATAGACTTGTGGTCTTGTCCTAGTATGGCATGGGTGATTGGTGCTACCTTAGTCTGGGGCCAGTAAATGCTAGCAGCTTCCCGGAGGCAGCAAGCAGCAGGGACGAGTACAATGTTAAACTTCTAACGGGCACTCAAGGTTCTTTGGGTAAATCAAATATCTTTCATTAGACCAACTAAAATAGTTGGAAAAACTCTTCTTTGCAAGCTTTTGGATACAAACACAGTTTTTCAGGCAGAGAAAGCATTGTATATAAAGAACTATTTACATTAACCAAGTAACAGTCTTGCCGCTCCCCTTCCAAGGGCCTGGGGACTAGCCTTGTTGCTGTCCTGCCACACCAGGTCACATCTGCTTCCTGGACATGCTGGGTGCTTGCAGACTTAAAACAAAAAAAGTGCTTTACTTTAAATTCAACATGTTCCTGTGTCAAGCCTCGCACGTGCCCAGAAGAGGCAGTGCATTACTTCAGTCTGGCTTGCCCAATGTCTGTAAAAGTTGGGCACTTTAGTGGGACTTTTTTGGCGCTTTTATCTAATAGCTGATTGAATCAGCTTTAAAAGTGCCAAAAAGCCCCGCTGAAATGCCAAATCTTTACAGAGGCTGCAAAGCCAGGTTGAAGTGCTACTTCTTCCGGTAAAGCATTTTTGGGGTTTTTTTAAACATCTGCAAGCAACCTCTGTGTTTCCAGGAGGACTTACTCTGTCACATGGTTGGCTGTGACTCTAAAACAATTCTTTATTTCTATATTCTGCCTTCCAAAAACAAGGTGTTCTCCATTTCAGGTGACATGGTATGTGAAAAAAATACAGTAGGTAATACAGGCAGTCCTCAGACTTACAACACAATTGGTTCCTGAAAACCACATCTTAAGTCGAAATGTTGTAACTCGGAACCAATTTTCTCATAAGAAACAATGTTATAAATGGGGGATTGGTCCCTGAACAAAGGCCTGATACCCTGTTTTCACCAAAAATACCCCAAAATGTTGTACTCGATCAATTATAGATGAGTAATATAGCTATATTAATGTATTTATATTGTAAATAGCAATCATATTGATTTGGAAGGACTTCTTTGAGGTGACTTTGCTGGACTTTTTGAAGGGCTCTTGGCTGGAGTCTTCTCAGGAGTCTTGACTGCACATTTTTCTTGAGTCTTGTCTGTTTTCTTAAAGTAAGTGTCCAAGCAGGTTTGGACAGATGTTCTCCAGGGAGATGAGCGACACAGCGAACTTGTTCGCTGACGTGGCATCACATTGGATCAAGCATTGTAAGTCGAAACTGACGTCATAAAGTTGAAACGGTGTCAATTTATAAACGTTGTAAGTGCAAAATGTTGTAACTCAGAACGTTTTAAGTCAAGGACTGCCTGTACTGAACTTTTTCAGAACCTTTTGACCTTAATATAAGCCTACCTTGGACAGGTATTGTGGTAGAGATACCCACACTAGCTTGCATACCAGAAGCAATACAGGAACATACGTTCAGTCCACATAGCCTAATTTGCACTTGAGAAACAGGACATATTAGAATGGGGCTACACTGTGTTTATTCAGCTATATTGCTTTTGGTACTTAAACTAGGTCAGGTATCTGTTCACAGTACTAGATTGCAATGTGTAGACACCTTCATTCTAGCTATACAGAATGTGTACCTGTTCAGAAAAAACACAGAATTAATGTTTGCTATTACCAGATCTTGTCTTACCAAGCCACAACTCTGCGTGTACGGAACCCTCTGGACCCATTCCACTAATGGTGACCACAAACAAGTTTAACTACAAAAAAAAATTCCCCTGTGGCTTCCACACTACAAGTTCTTCAGGCTGAAGTACATAAGGAATCTGTGTTAAATACAAAATTGCCTTCTTTCCTCGCCTCCCCTACTTTTTTCCCCACTCCTTTCTCTGCTTTACCTTTTTGTTTTCCTAATTTCTACCTGTTTACATTCACATTGACATCTTGTCAACACTTTTAGCTTCTCTTGATCCTTGGAGTCTCAGAACAGGAGAGACTTCCTATGCCTGAAGAAGGGTGACTGCGCCCGAAAGCTTGCCAAGAATTCTTTTCCAACTACTGTTGGTTCGATAAATGATATCACATCTACTCAAAGAACTTTGCCTACCACTTGCTCAACAAATATTTATTCTCTTATGCACCCTATTTGTGGTCCGTAACATTTTGTTTTGTTTTGTTCAGGTCGAGTCACCAGTGATCTGTAAAATTTTGGATACAGCAGATGAATATGGACTCCTGTCAGTGCCCAGCTAAAGGGATAGTGTTGTTTAAGAAGAACCAAGTTCACAGAAAGCCATAACTACTGGAACCACGGTATTTCCCATATTCAAGTTGTTTCTGTAGGATGCTAAAAAGAGAGGTCCCCAGCCAGTCAACTTCACCAGCACAAAACAAGAAGAGGAACTCATGAACCACTTTGTGTATATCTGTGTATATAAGAGGTTATTGATAAACTTTTAAAGATTAAATTTTGTCTTGAACCTTTCATTTTAACTGTACAGAAAATCCTGCAAACATATAGGCCATGTTTAAGTATAAGCAGCTTCAATAAACACTCAAATGAACAAGATCCAACTCCAAGTAGGGAGTTCAACTGCTGGCCTTGAAAAGGAAAAGAGATTGAAAACCAAAGCAACTTGCCTCATTTCTTTCAACAGCCTCAAGTAAATGACATTATTTTTATCTTGTTATAGGACAAATGTAATCCAACACCTATATTTCCTCAGATTTAAAAAAAAACAACAACAAATAACTCTGACCATCATTTGCATTCAAGCCATCTTTACCTGTATCCCTCCCCCTTTCCTCACCCCAAACAAACCTGGTCATATAAAAGTGCAACTGTAGAAAAATATACATGTTAGAATAGTTTTAGGTGTTTCACGTTCAAATAGTTGCTAATTATAACATGAAATAATAAGATAAGTAGTTAATCATGTTGGTTTGAAGTCAAGCAGAACGCCGGGTAGAAGCACATCTTTATAGACTGAATCAAGGTACACCTCTACCTGGCCTTTTGCATGATGTAAGATCAATTAACACAAGTGTACTAAATCTAGGCAGTCTTACCAAAGGTCTTAATAATTTGTTAAAAATTAGAAGGAAAATGACCTTTTGTTTATATTCTTTAATAAGAGGTAAGTAGGTAGTGATTATTCTCAAAACTCCATGTGCATATCTGAATGAGAGTAACACGGTCCATACCTTAGCTCTCAACTGGTAGCCCTGAAGCCTTTGTAGTCAAGAGCTTTGCTATAGATTTGTTAAGGCTGTAAAGAACTCTCAACTATTGTATTTTAGTTTCTTCCATACATAAGATGAAAACTGACTTACCTTCATTGCTGGGAATCCTGGGAAAAGTGAACATTTCAGTGGAAAGCTTAATGAATAAGTAGCCATAAAAGTAGAAATGTACCCTGGACAGCAATCCATACTAAAGGAAGGCAGACAACAGAAATACATATATTTTGTTTGGGGTGGAGAGAGGGGGAGGGTCACGTGTACCCAAGGTTCCCTCTAAAGTGCACAAGTACGCTGCCTCACAAGTAAAAGTCTGGCCGTGCACAAACTTTTATAGACCACGCACCTGCCGGGATAGGAGCTAGGCTGCGGTGTGCGACATTTACAGAAGATAAGCTCCTCCCCGAGGTGAGGCAGAGGTGGGGGTGGGAGCCTGGGGTGGGCTCCACCCACTCCAGGGAACTGCTCTGCTCCCCCGCTTTGCCTCTGGAAGTGAGGAGGCTGGGGAGTGGAGCACTTCCCCGGAGCCGGCAGAGCTTGTGCCAGCCCCCAGCCTCAGCCTCCATCCCTGCCTTGCCTCACCTCAGGGAGGAGCCGCTGCCTGCAACGAGTGCCTGCCCCAGAGCTGCCACTCCGCCGGCTCTGGAGAACTGCTCTGTGGGCTCCACCAGCTCTAGGGAAGTGCTCCACTCCCCAGCCCTGACGCCACGTGACTCCTCACTCCCCAAGGGGAAGCGGGGCAGTGGAGCAGTGTCCCAGACCTGGCAGAACCCACACGAAGCCCCGGCCCCTGCTGCCTACCCCGGGTGAGGAGTGAGGAGCTTACCTTCAGTAGGTGTCCCGCACCGCACCGAAGCGGCGTACTCATGGACCACTACTCCTTGGAGGTAACATTGCGCGTACCCCTGGTTGACAATCACTGGTCTAATGCATAAACTATCTCACCCAGGAAAAATCAAGACACGTACCCTTAGGGGTACTTAAAAAGGTCATAACAGGTACGCAACTGCTGTGGCCAATAATGTGGCCGATAAATGCTGCATGCGTGCGCACAGCCTCAGCACAGCATGCAGGCGACGAGGAGCACGGCCCAGCTATTTAGAGACAAGCCGGGTCTGGCTAATAAGTTTGTACTGAGGGAAGAGGTGTGGGGGCTGCAAAACGAGGGCCCAGCAGTGGGGGAGGGAGTGTGGCTAGGGCAGGGGCTACCCAGCTGGGGTAGGGCGCAGGACTGAGCCACGTGCAGGGAACAGGGGGGGCTCCCACTGCTGTTTACACTGAGGGAGGGCATGGGAGGCGTGTGCCCCCAGATCTGCATACAGGGCAAGGCAGGCTGCCGCTGTGGGCTGGGGCTGAGGCAGTGCTGGGCTCTTCCCAGCAAGGGGCTGGACGGGGCTGTGCTCAGGGTGGGTGGTGGCGAGGTTGGGGGAGGCTATGGTGAGTTCTGGAGTGGCTGCAGCCCCTCCTGTAGCCCCCCTCCCAGCACCACCACTGCCTGCCCCGAGCACAGCCCAGTCCAGACCCCGCCGGAAACAGCCTGGTGCAACCCCAGCCCCATCTCACACAGATCCAGGACCACACCCTCCCATGCCCTCTTGGGGGTGCGCATAGCAGCAGTAGCCAGCTCCCATGCAGCTGTCCTGTGCCCCACCCTGGCTGGGCAGCCCCTGCTCCAGCCCTAGCCCCACTCCCCCACCACTGGGGCAGCCCACCCTTTCCCCGCATGCAGATCCAGGGGCACATGTCCCCCATGCCCTCCTGGGGTGTGCACAGTGGCAGGAGCTGCCCCCCATGCCTACCAATTCCGGGCCCCCCGGAAGCAAAAGCTGGGGTTTTAAACTTGGTACCCTTTTTGTCTCCCACCCTTTTTGTCCCTCTTCCTACCCCCTGCCATAGCCCAGCTCCCATGGGGGGAGTGGGCCTCTAATTTTGTATTTGCCCAGGGCTCCAATACACCTTAATCTGCCTCTGCTTGCGGCTCCATCCCACACTCTGCCCTGGCTGTGCAGCACCTGCCTCTGCCCCAGTTCTTCTCCCTCCCTCACCGCAGGGGCCTTGATCTGCCCTCCTGCCCACCACCCCTTAAAGACAAGAAAAAAATATAAAGGGATACATGAGCTGAAACTCTGAGACAGAAGGGGTACACTTGTTAAAAAAGGTTGAAAACCCCTGCATTAAACTAAAAAAATTTCCCACTTTGGGAAGCATTAATTTTAACGTATGATTGTTGGTTTACTATGCCAATTTAATTCCTCTGGGATTTAAATTAAGACCATGGGAAACAGTACAACTTTTAAGTAGCCACCCCTGCTGCTAGTCTCCTACGCTCAAACCTAATTTGGCTAAAACTCTATAAAGTACTTTCAAATGTAACTCAAAATCAGTCTATTGAGATGAGAGACTATACATTCTTTCCAGGTGGACTTACTAAAGTACAGTGATTGGATACAATTTGTAGACTTGTAAAGCTGTTCTATAAAGACCATCCTATTTATTTTAGGCAATAGGAGGAGGAGATAAAAAGTTTCCTCATCCAGTGTTCTTAGAAGTGTACCTACCTCATCTTAAAATTTAGCTTTTCATCTTTTGCCAGGAGAGTAAAAACAAACAAAAAAATGTAAAGCCCCTTTACTCATCCAAAGACCCTCCCCTCCCCTGTAGCACAGCATAGTTTTGCAGGCTGAATGAAAATTAAAGTAGTGCCTGGGGGATGTCACTGAACACAAGTTGCTATTGCACACTTCAAGACTGACCCAGCTACTTCTTTCACCTTTGACAGAGATCACCTCTATGTTTAAATTGATAATTTTGTGTCGCCATCTAGGCCAGGTACAGACATTACGTTTTTACCAGTATAAGTTATTGGAAACCGGTCTATACCAATAACAGAACAGAAGCTTGGTGCACACAGACTGGTTTAAAAATGGCAGATCCCAGTCTAAGTTTTGTTCCCCCCACAAAGGGTGAGCGTGTGTTCTGTTTGCTACTGATCTAAACTATACCGCTTACAGAAAACTGCATAACTTAGATTGATTCCACCTTGGGAGTTTTAAATGTTTGTACCTAGGCCTAGCAACACTGCAATTAAGTCTGCCCCCACTAACTAACTGCAAGATGATGTGGAAGAGGTGCAAGTCAGAGCTATCCAACTTGTGAGTGACTAGGAGCTGCAGGTCCTTTGACCACACGCTGGACTGCAGGTCACGTAAGCCCACTACTACACTGCACCAGTACCTCCATATCACAGTGGTGTTCCTGCACTGCATCACACATGCCCCCCCACACAGACACCATGCTGCATGGGGTACCCACAAGCTCCCTCACCCCACAATCACTGCACAGTTGTTAGAGAATAATGATTTTGGGTCAGTACTGATCAGAACCAAAAGGAAAACAGTGACATAAATGATAAAATTGTACCCTGTTATAATTCCAAGTTATTGAAGTTCTTTTGGTGATAATACAACAATTAGTAAGAATTATTCTAGCATTCATGACTGATTTGGCCCCATTCTTAAGTGTCTGTTGACATTTTTATATTCTAAGTGGGGCAGGAAGCAGAAGCAAAAGAAGGGAAGGGGAACAGATTTTGGTGGCAGAAGCACAAGAGCAATGGAGGGGAGTGGTGCCTGGACTGGGGGCCACAGGTTAACCTCAAAAGGGCCACATGCACCAGCAGGCCACCAGTTAGACAGCCCTGGCATATGTGACAGGCATCAGAGCAGAGGCAGCAATTATTTTGAGCGGAGGGCTGCTTACCCAGTTTTGGCAGGCTGTCGGGGGCCACAGGGGTAGCCCCGCCCCTTGACAGGTGCCCCACCCCCTAGTCACCTTCCTGGGACCAACGTCCCAATGTCTTGGGACCAATGTCCCAGGGCTAGTACCAGTGGGGCCCAAAGCAGGGCTGGGCTGGGCTACACCAGCAGGGAGAGGGGGGAGCTGGCCCGGCTCCATAGAGCCCCTGCCAGCTGGGACCCTGCGCTTCCACCACCCTGCTCTGGACCCCACCGGAACTAACCCCAGGGCACCGGTGCGGGCCCTGTGCTCACACCCAGTGCCCCCCAGCCCCGCAGTACAGGCTGGGGGCAGCGCACAGCCCCGATCCCCTGCTCGCCAGCAAGGAAGAAGCTGGTGCTGAGCATGGAGAAAAGTGGCCCCTCACCTGCCCCATAGCCAACGCCCCACATTGCAGGCACTTGCAGCCCGTGCAGGGCTGTCCGGAGCAGGC